AAGAGTGTTAACAAATGTATTACTAGCACTTTTCCTCTAATAAAATAGCCAAACCAAAACATGTGAAGGGGAACTTACCGCAGTCCCAAAAACATAGGAACCTGAGACAGCAACAAGGGTGGTAAGTATAAGAAGAGGTGGTAGGTACCAAGTTTCTTTCTGGCTTTTTTCCTCACAATCAACGCCACCATTTCCACCATACCCTTGTGATTCTGCGGAAAGAAGAGGAGTTGAAAATTCGCTTGGTACAGTGCTTTTAGTACCGTCCATGATTATCCACAAGCAGAGGCAAGAGCCACGAAGATTTTTTTAGGTTGTGTGACAGAATTAATGGATCTAAAAAGAGTAGTGTCTTGTGTGGTCAAAAATTGAAGTGAGAAGGACACTGTTGGAGGTAAAGTCTGTGAAGATCCGTAAGCCATTTTTGTGACAACAAAGTGAACAATAGGAAGACGTAGTTCTTAGAATTTCTATGAGTAGCTGGTTGGGAGGTAGAAAATTTCTACCATCCATTAATGGCTATGCTTCATCCCTTCCCTATAAATAGCACCTCCCATATTTCATTTTCACCATCTCAGAGAGTCAAAAGCAAGAGTGTCTCGAAATGAATGTATTTTCCTATTATAAGAGAGAGAGTGTGTTATTATTCTATCATTTAGAAAGAGATTGTAATTTCTCTTACACTCCGTGAAAATATTTTTCTAATCTTGCCAGTTATTTTTTCTTTCCACGTAAAAATATTGTGTATTGATTCCTGTTTTTTCATCTTTTATTTTAGTTGAGAGTTATTATTTTGTTATTATGTTACCCATCAAAGTCTTGTGTCTTGACTTGAGACGCGACGTTTGTTGCTTTCAACTTCGATTCAGTGGAGGTGCCGTGAGATGATTTTTTTGTTACCGAGCATGCGTAATCTGAAATGAAATGAAATGAAATGATTGGCATGAAGGGTGGACAACGACATCTTGCTCTTCCTTGGCACTTGGCAGTATCTTACGTTTTACTTGCATGTGATGAATGAGGAGTTACAACTTCAGATATTTTTGCGTACGGCTATTTTTTTTTCTTCTTTTCAATCCAACTTGTACCATTACTGTTCGTGGGAAATCATAATGAGATTGTAGAATTTTTATTTCAACCATAGAAATAGGAAGAGAAGTAAAAGAAATGTAAGATAAGACGAGAGATAAATCAAAATAATGGTGTAAAAAATATTAAAAAAATAATACAATACAACTGATCACAATAACCACTGATACTCGCTGATTGTCATTTCCTACATTTAGATGCGTATTTTAACAAGCTTATTACACGGAATCTCCATCGATCTTCCATTTGGACAAATTGTAAATTTGTATATTCATCTCTTAATTCGAATTCAAAGAAGCTTGAATTTCCTCTAGTGTACGGCCCTTGGTCTCTGGCACTAGTTTTGCTACGAAAACAACAGTGAGGCCACATATGCTAGAGAATATGAAGAAAGTTCCTGTCCAAACACAGCGTAAAAATGAATTTCATTCCATATATAAAAATAAGGACCTTTTACTTGTCTATGCTCATTCCCAGTTTTTTTTTTTTTTTTAAATTCTTCAAATTGGGATTTTTTACCTTCTCTTTTTAGGGAATGGATGGTGAGAATTTAAGTTGAGAGTAAATACAAGCTTACCTACTGAACTCCAACTCATGAGAAAGTTAAAAGCATATGACACAATCCAAGAACATGAACGTTACTAAGCTTCCAGCAGAGCCCTTCACATTAATGGGAAATATCTGAAAAAATAAAAATATAACAATTCATCGTACTGAGGAATAATAATTAATTATTATATTTGAAATTTTTATTTCATGAGTTCAAGCATAGTTGGACAGAGTTACCTCAGCTCAGACATTATAACCCATGGAATTCCTGCCAAGCCTAGCGTGAAGGATCCCATATATACCTATCAATATAAGACATGAATTGAAATTTTATTGTAAAACTTAACTTCAGATATATCATTCAAGTCTTAAACTCAATTCTACTTCACAAAGAAAAATACAGGGCCAACGAAAAAAGAGGCACATCATAGAAGTTCTAGCAAGAAATCAAGAACTTAATTGATATGCAAGAAATGCAACTCTCCTACGAATTCTTTTTCTTAATTGCTATATATAGAGACACAAAATATTATTAGGTAAAATTTTAACATAACAACTCTTTCATGTCATGGCCACCACAAACCAGAATAATGATTGAATTTGAATCCATTTCAGTTAGATACCTAGAGCTAGAATTATGAGATTTCATGATGTGGTCCAAGATACAAGTATGGGTACAATAATTGCATAAGCATTACCAGTACACCAACAAGCGCCATAATGGGACTGATTCCATTCCGTTCATGTAAATCCTGTATCAGGCAAGCCTAATTATTCTTGGAAATAATTGAAAAACAGCTTATTAAAGTACGATCTTCTATTAAAAGAACCTTCAAGAAGAATGATAGGGCTGCAAGGAAGCTTCCTAAGCATGTTCCTATGGCAGAGGCCTGAGTAAAAGTCAAATTTTGGATTCAGGATTAACAGAACATGGAAATAATAAAAATAAAAAGGAACAAAAGCTGAACCATTTTACCAGTAAAAGTGGTCGTCTTCCACATTTATCCATCAAAAATACTCCTAAAGTAGTCGCTGGGATCTATAAAAACAAATAATGCGATTGAAATGAAAAAAATACTCAGGAATGAAATGGTACCCTCATAAATAATGACATTGAACTCTTATATAGAATTAAGCAGATGGAAATGATGAAACTATGTAAACAGAATTAAGAACCTTAACAGCAACCATTGCTATTGTTCCAATACTATCTGAAAACCCTGTCATAGAGAAGAATTTTTGCTTTCTTGTGAATCTAATACAAATATAATATTCTCAAGTTTGTTTTTTACTATTTTTATATGATAGAAGCATAGAAAAGGACCTGCACATACCAGCCGAGGTGAATATGGAATTTGTATAAAAAAGTATGCCAGAAAACCCTCCAAACTGTTGCAGCATCATCAAGCCTACTCCTACCTAACCAAGTAACTAAGTACCATTAAAACCTGCAAAATGTTAAGATAGGTTGCATGAATGGGGTTTATTTAGAATACTCACTGTAAGTGACTTTAAGTAATGCAATTGAAATAATCCAATAATGCTAGCTTCTGTTTGTCGCTGAAGGGCTTCTGTGTAATCCTACAAATGAAGGTACAATGTAAAAAATGATAGATATTAAACTCTTTGGTTTCCTCCTTTTTTATTTCCCTTATTCTTCCTCCAAGTAAGTTAACCCAAGTGTAACATAATAAATTAATAACATTCTAAAGAACAAAAGTTTGTTATGTACTCTGATTTCAGTGGCCTCTTGATAAACATCAGCGTTCTTTCCCCTAAGGCGCTGTAAAGCAGATTCACTCTCTTTCAAGCGACCAACCTTAGCCTGCAGAAGATTACATGTATCACTTGTGCAGTTGTGCTAATGACGTGTTGACTAGAATAATTTGACAAAAGTGATGAAAAAATTCAGTTGCTTGTGTGATCTGTGTCCAACATGTACTGCCCAAGCAACAAAATTCAAGAAGTTAGGAGCAACTCACTTGCCACCTAGGTGAATCAGGGATGAAGGGAAGACTCAGAAGCTGCGCAAGACATGGAATAGTTCCTCAGATAAAGATCAAAATTAAATGAGTAACATACTAACATTGAACCCTTTTTAATTTTGATTTGTTAAAAGGACAACATAAAGAGCATTACCAATTACAGACAAAATCCGCCAATTCAAAAATGCTCCAACAAGATAAGTTAATGACAACCCACAACAAATCATTAACTGTCACAACAATACCAAATAGACATTTAAAATAAGCCTCTACGTGACACATAAAACATAATTGGCATGGCATGATACACAAAATGAGGGTAAAATGATATTAAGAGATATCATTATAGTATTGCTTTACCTCATGAACTGCAGTAAATGTTCCTCGAAGATTCTTGGGTGTTATTTCTGCTACATAAACTGGAACCTAATATGCAAAGGGAACTAATATTAATTTGAATTTCTTGATTCACTGGATAACATTATTGAACAGCAGTCATAAGTCATAACATATAATTACACATAACAACAATTACCACATAAGATATCACACCAATCCCACATCCTATTAGTAGTCTTCCAAGGTAAAGCCACCAAGCAACCTTCAAACAAGCACCAAATGTTTGATATCAAATGCTGAATTTAAGGAAATTAACCCCGTGGGATTAGGACCAGACAGAATTAACCCCAGAATTACAAATTAACTCAATAGTAATTTTTCTTGAAGCCTTGTTCAAAAGGATTACTAATTTTCTTTCTTTGTTAATAAGCCTCATATATAGTTAATTCCTGGACAAGCCTGCACATCAATTTAAGGAATTCTGGGGTGAAATTAATGGCAAACCTTAGAGAATGCTATGATAAGCGATCCCAAGATGCAGAAAACCTCCGACATACCCATGGCCTGCACAGCAAAATACAAAATAACATAAGGTGAACAACAATAACATCGAAATTATAATTAAGTGTAGTATGATTTTAACTTACAACTCGACGACCTGCATAATCTGCTATTCTACCGCTTACAGTGGCACCAATCATCGCTCCAACAGTCAATATTGAACCAAAACTTGAGTACTACAAAAGTTCATACAGTTTAACTTAAGGCCAATAAACTATAAGGTGTAAATGTTAGTAGAAAACTTAATGCACTCTCTTAGATGTTTTGGTATTGTTCTATTCAGAAATAGAGTTTCACCTTGGAACCTATGTTGACCTTTAATATTAATCTTTATTAGGCATATTATCTAGGTAAAATCTCCAAATCTAATTAAAATATAACAGAAAGAAATACTTAATCAACTCATTTATATGAGGAGTATTCCTATCATATTCTACTAAGACAAAGGTTGTGAGGTTTATTGGAGGTTCAAACCTGGTTGAGAGCGAGATCCAGGTCATGCATAATTCCAGATTGAGTAGGAGATGAATATGCGATCTGCAAAATGAGTAGGAATGTGACAGCACAGCACAGCACTTGGTCATTCTGAATTGTGATGAAGCAGTGTGTGAAGGGGATAACTTACAGCAAAACCAAAAGCGTAAGAACCAAAAACAGCAGAAAGGGTGCTGAAAATAAGAGTAAGAGGTATTGGAGATGCTTCCCTTTGCCCATTTCCCTGGAAGTCAGCTTCAAGCAGAGGAGTTGAACTACCTTTGGTGTTCATGACTGATTTGAGTCCGCCACTCAACAGACACTTTGCAGAGTTATAACATGGTCGGATCTACTGCAAGGTTATCTATCAAGCACTTCTCGTAGGCCCCATTTTCATCAAGATGATTAATATCAATGCAAGTGTTCGTTGAAGGTTGAGGCCAATGTTTTTCAATATACACTCATTAATAATCATATAAAAGTCTGAACTGCAACTCATTTTACCAATAAGAGTATGAGTCATGTTTGTTAATTGAAACAATTAATTATTACTTCTTAAAATCAATCAATTAAAAGTTAGTTAAACATATGATTTACTCGTTCCTCATGTCTCAAATTCTCACTTTATTCCTAATTCAGTTCTTATACGTATAATGTATTATTAATTTTTTTTACATGTAAGAATTATACTTATGGCAACAACATTTAAACCTAAAATTATTCTACCCCTTCTTTCACTTGACACATCCTAATGGTTAGGTGTTATTGATTTGGTTTTAAGGATTAAATTAAAAATGTATTCTATGTACCGGAACTAAATTTAGGATGTATTACTATAAGTTTGCATAAAAGGTCAAAAGTTCCACCAACTAGGAGTTCAAGTAGAATTACACTTGATCTGTTCAACTAGATATGAATTTGAAACTTGTTGACAGACTTAAAACAATAAATATTCCACACTGATATAACATAATTAAAAAAAACGAAATTTCTAATACCTATTACAAAAATATGCTAATAATTTTTTTGTTTAATTTTAAATCACATATTAATAAGTGAACTAACATTACTTACTTTAAAATATTATAGAGAATAAACTTATAATAAAAAATTTGAAAGATCAAAATTACACATTCAGAAAATTACTAGTTTTTTTTTCTAAATACCCAAAGAATCCAAGTCCAATGGTGTAACTTAAAATTAAAAAAAAAAAAAAAAATCATATGTGAAGTATGTTGTTGGACAAAATTAATCCATCTAAGATGGAAAACTAGGAGTGAATATTATTTGAGTTAAGTCATTTATTTTTGTTCAAATCTAATTCAAAAATTTCTTCAAGTTATTTTTTAAAGTTCAAATTCAATCAAATTAAGATGAATAACGTAGATTTATTCGACTTTATTAACTATATTAATTTTAATATTATGTATAGTTAAATTATAAAACAAAATAAATATAAATCTCAAATTAATGTATAATTTACAATATATGTATATTAAAATAATAATTATATTATAAATATAATATAATATTATAAAAATGATTACTAATTATTTAATATTAATGTACAATTATTCAAATAATATTATCTATCATAAAAATTCACCGAGTTCAATTTCAATCTCAAATTCGCCAAATTAATCTAGGGTAGAGATGGGTTAACATATTAGGTTAAGTCATCCTCACCCCTACATTAAACAAGCAAACAACTGAGTAGAAACAAAGGTTGAGGGACAACCTTGTAAATTCCTGTTCTTCCTTTCCAAAACCCTAATCCCGCTTAGGTATAAAAACGAAAGAAACACACTTCTTCCGATTCTTCGCTTTACAGGAGCAGCTCCGAACACCGAAGGTTCATCCAATCCCTTCTTCACCGCTCAGCAACAATGGTATGTGCATCCTAAAATCAATCTCATCAATCGAACCCTAATTTTTTTTTTTTTTTAATTCAGCGGTGTGTTTGGGAATGCAAGAGGGAAATTCTGATAGGGTTTTGTGTTTATTGTTTTGCAGTCGAAGAGAAAGGTTAGAGAGCCAAAGGAGGAGAACGTGACTCTTGGTCCAGCTGTCAGAGACGGTGAACATGTCTTCGGCGTCGCTCGCATTTTTGCCTCCTTCAACGATACCTTCATTGTCAGTATATGCATCTCTTCAACTTCTTAGTTTCAATTATCAATTGCTCAAATTTTGTTTTTGGTTTTTATGTTTGCAGCACGTCACTGATTTGTCTGGGAGGGAAACACTTGTTCGCATCACTGGTATGTAAAGCGTTGGTTATGGTTATTGTTTATCTATCATCATTTTTCCACTTTTTAGTAAACTTTCTCGTTTTTACAATGTTGATATTGGGATAGCCCATACCTAATTTCAGTGGATTTTATTGCGGTAAGTAAATATGTTTTTGGCATTTAGGTATTCCCTTACCCCCGAAGCCTCGATGGAGGGAGCTTAGTGATTGGCTTTTGTAAAATTTTGTTTTGCTTTATATGATTTTTGAGTTTTTCTATTCAGAGGTTGGGATCCATTTGAGTATTGCCAAGCTAACATTCTACGCCATTAAATAAATATTTGTTGTCTTTGGGTTTTAGTAGATGTAGGAAAAATGCTGTGATTTACTCGTGTCTTTGCTTTCTATCTTCAGGTGGAATGAAGGTTAAAGCTGACAGAGATGAATCATCTCCTTATGCTGCTATGCTTGCAGCACAGGATGTTGCTGCCAGATGCAAGGTCAGTAGGCTTCTTCTTAACATGCTGCATCCTTCTTTATGAATTTAATAGAATTTCAATTTGATCCTTCGCTTGTTAGCCAATATCACTGGTGTCTTGTTCTGATTAGCCTTTTCAATGAATTTGTGGAGATTAATGCGCTATGTTAAATTATTTTGGGGCAGGAGTTGGGCATAACTGCTCTTCATATCAAGCTCCGAGCCACTGGTGGAAACAAAACAAAGACACCTGGTCCTGGTGCTCAATCAGCTCTTCGAGCTCTTGCTCGTTCAGGAATGAAAATTGGTCGCATAGGTATTTTGCCTTTTTAAGAAAACCATAGTTTACTAGATTTGCCTTACTCAAATAGGGTAGCTAATTGGTTTGACATTAATTTCTGTGTTTTACTCGAGGGTTTTTTCTTTTTATTCTATTTTCATTTTGTTTCCCATTTTAGTTATCTGGTTGATTTAATTGTATTGCATTTGTTGTTAAATGCTAATTAATTAATGTTTATTGTATTTTCCAGAGGATGTGACTCCCATTCCTTCGGATAGCACACGTAGAAAGAGTGGTAGAAGGGGTAGAAGGCTTTAAACTTCTTATGGTATATGGCTGGAGTTACTATATCACTCTGCAAGCCAAACAAAATTGTGGCATTTTGAGATTTTGCTTAGGTTATTATCTGAACATCTATTGTATTTCTTGTGGTATTGAACGAAATTTTAGTTGAGTACATTTTCGCATTTTGAAAGTTATTCGTATTGAGATTGTTGGAAATTCTGCGTGTTGCTTTGTTGCTTGGAAATGTACTAATCATCTCCTTGATAAAATGTTGCTAGGTTCGGTTTCATTATAGTATTTTTATATTTCGATTCCCCCTCTCGACTTTTATCTAGTTTTAAGCGTGGGAAAAATAATAGATTGGAATTCATATTGTTTTATCAACGGATAGGAATGTTTGCCCCGCAAATAATCTATAATTTTAAAATGTCATAATGGATTCGAATCAAATTAAAAAAAAAAAAACTTGTTTTATAAGTTTTCTTTTGTAAAATTGTTTGCTATTATTACTTTGTTATGAAGTCATTTTTTACTTGGCAGACAAGTAAAATAAAAATTATATGTATATATTTTTTGAAAACATCTTTGAACTTTGTCAATGTCTCATTGGCATTGCTGAGTAAGCGTACTTTGGGCCCATTTTTCTTGGGCACTTTTCGTTTGGAGGTATGTAGGCCATTCCTACTCGGGCTCTTGATACCGGATATTTCTTACCAGTTCATTCTGTAACTTCTTTTTTCTAAATGCGTCTCTCACAATGTTTTTGTTAAGTTTTATTTCAACAATCTTCTTGTACGTGTGATCGAATATAATAATATTTACAAAATTAAGTTACGAGGGTATAAATTAAAAACAATCAGGCAGACACGAAATTTTATAATGACATCACAATGACATATGTGGCAACCTCAGTCCTCATCAGACTGCGATCGAGGTCTACAATGATCACATTTATCCACAGCAACTACAATAGACTCATTTAAAAACTTGCCCACAAATTTATGGATACATATACATTTACTTACAAACAATATTTTATCAGGTCTATACGATTGGAAGCAATACACACACTTGCTTTCCATTAGAGCTAACATTTATTCCTTCATACACATCAGCACTGTGCTATCTGCCATACATAACATAGTTTACGTAGACAAGAACCATACACCAGTCTCGATTAACGAGTGTCATTTATCCTTCATTAAGCGTTCACAATGCTTCCACCTAAAAAAAGGAGATGAAAACAGTTAAAAAAAAACAAACAAGGAACAGCTGGTAATGTAAAATATATGTTAATTAATTATTATAGTATGAATATATAATATGTATGACCATTAGGGTGGAGGACTTGGCCAGTTACGTAAGAAGAACATTGGTTGCTCGCAAGAAACACATAAGATGGAGCAACCTCAATGGGTTGCCCAGCTCTCTTCATAGCCACATCTGAACCAAATCGAGTAATTTCTTCCTCCGTGGAACTTGCCACTATTAACGGAGTCCAAATGGGTCCAGGTGCTACCCCGTTCACTCTTATTCCCTTTGTCACAAGTTGAAGCGCGAGTGCCCTCGTAAACCCCACAACAGCACCCTTCGTCGACGTGTAATCCACTAGCGTTGCATGTCCCTTGTATGCATTCACTGATGCCGTGTTTATAATGCTGCTTCCTTCCTTCATGTGCTTCAATGCATGCCTATAAAATTATATTATGTGGTCACTTAAACTCATACCTACTTTATGTAATGAAAAAATATCAAAATAAATGGTGTCAATACAAAGTTGAAGGAGGTAGAGGTTAGAGGTTTATTATTACTTGGTCATGAAGAAATGGGAAAAGATATTAGTTCGGAACACCCTCTCGAGTCTTGCTTCATCAATCTCTTCCAATGAATCACTCTCGTACTGCTCAGCTGCATTGTTGACCAGAATGTCAATGTGGCCATAAGCGTTGACCACTTGGTTCACCACTTTTTTGCAATTCTCTTCATAACCTAAGTCAACTGGTATAGCCATTGGATCTTTGGCATCTTTAGTCTTAGCCTTTCTTATAATTTCAAGGGTGTCTCTTGCGTCTATGTCTTCTTGCCCTTTCACGTATGTGAAGATGACAGTTGCACCCTCCAATGAAAACAAGTTGGACACAGCTCTTCCAATTCCTGAATCACCACCGGTTACTATAGCTATCTTTCCCTGCAAAATAAAGATTAAATATTGAAGGAAATAGAAAGTAACTAGTTATAGATAAGAGAAGAGAATTAATTAATGTTACATTTACTTGAAGTTTATTTGATGGCTTGTATTGGGGGTTGTTGTATTGAGGTGGTGGATTCATGAGATACTCTTTGCCAGGTTGTGTGTCTTGCTTCTGAGGGGGAAAGTTGTATTGAGTGGAAGCCATTCTTATGAACAAGCTTAAGCTTTTGGGAAAAATGGGTTGTGATAGAAAGCAAGAGATGGAGAGGTTAATTTATAAGTGTTAAGTGCACACTTAGGTCAGGTGTGTGATGGTGATGGAATACAGAATACACATATAGGTGCACATGTTCTGTCAAATGATTTATTTGAGCGTGCCACGTGGCGAGCATTGGCTTTACTTTGGAACGTGGTTAATTTCACTATGCTATCCTTGTTGTTTGGTTTCGATGGCTTTCTTCTTAGTTTAGGACATGGTAAGGTTACCATTAATTTTGGGACAATGGCCGCACTATGCTCCCTAAGGTTGCGTTTTTTATTTGGAAACTTATTTATATGTATATGCGTGATTAATCTGATTTGGTGCAATTTTACTTCTAAATAATATTCTCTCAAGAGTAAAATAACATTTAGTCCATCAAGTAATTTACAGACATGGTTTGCAAACAACTGTTAAATTTCAAGATGGGAAAACTTATTTGAATCCTGAGATTTCAATCCAACTTACCGTAACATCCCCAAAATAAATAATACTTAAACGATAATAAAATATAAGTTTAAATATGTTTTTAGTCCCTCAAATTTAGGGTAATTTTGCTTTTTGTCCCTCAAATTTAAAATTGTTATTTTTAGTTCCTGTAATTTCAAAAAATCTTATTTTAGTCCATATATCAAAATATCACATTAAATCCGGTTGATGTTGCATAACTGTATTAATTAGTCACTTTCAAATATGTTATTGGTGACTTAAGGGACTAAAATAAGATTTTTGAAAATTATAGGGACTAAAAATAACAGTTTTAAATTTAAAGGACTAAAAAAAAATTTATCTTAAATTTAAGGGACTAAAATCATATTTAAGCGTAAAATATATTTGGTTACTTTTTTTTTATCCGAACTTGATACGAAAGGTTCATAACAAGGCCAACTCAAAGGTAAGATGATAAAGTTTATGTTTTAGGTTCATAAAAAAGATATTTGTTATTAATTTTTATAAAGTAAAAATATTACATATTTGTCAAAAAAAAGTTTCTTATAATTGTAAAAAGCCCCACATATTATTTTTTTATTTTAAAAATAATTATTTCTTAGAATTTGTTTTAGACCATATATATATAGAGAGAGTCAATTCTAGTTTATAATACTCAAATACATACTCAATTAGTCAAGTAATATCTCATTGGTTCTAAATTGTTGCCTAGAAGTATTAAGTATCTACACAAATCAAATGTTATTTAAGTTGAGTTAACCTCTATTTTTTCAAGTTGTTATTTTTCGGCCCAATTTGACCCATGTAATTGAGCCATCTGGTCAAATTAGTCTAATTAAAAGAATATATTTAAAAAAATTAATATATTTTTTTATAATAAAAAATATATATAACATCATGAAACACTTAATAGTTTTGCATGTATACAATTTCTTATAAATATGACATTTGCATTTATCCACTCAATAAACTAGGCCAAAATTTTCATAATAATTTCATACCTCATAGGTATTAGGTTAAGTTATTTTTAGACTTCTTCGTCATTAATACCCCATACTCTTACTTTTATCATAACTCTGTGAGTATAGATACGAGTATAATTGAGTCTTCATCTTCTTTAACAAACAAAATAAAGATGACAGGTCATAGAATTAAGTCATCAAGGACGCAATGAGAGCGATGAAACTCCCATAACAACCCTAACTCTAAGCTTATAACCACAATTTTATAAGCAAATACAAAAGAATGAAAGATTATTACTATTATTATATATTTTATTTTATTCTATTATCTTATAGTACATTAAAGATTTAAAAATTGATGATCATTTAAATTATTTTATTTATTAATTTAACGGACCAATTCGACTCAAGTCCATTTAGACTATAGAGCTTAGTAGACTAGGTCAAAATGATTTAGTTCTATTTAAATTTTAAGTCATCATTTTTAAAGGTTCAACCACTACAAAAAAATTGTCATATAGTGACACACATCTTATAGTGACACTATATATGTCACTAAAAGTTACTTTTACCCACACAATAAATATAATATATGTTGGTATATTGTTAAAAAGTGTAGCTATAGACTATAGTGACACACAAAATATGTTGTTAAATTTCATTCAAAATCAACAATAAAATTATATGTAACTATATGTCAAATGGATATATACCTATATATATTGTACCTTTATATGTCACTATATGTAACATTTCTTGTAGTGAACTTGACCTTATTTATATGTTGAGTCGACTTATCGAACTAAACTCAAATTGACATATATATATATAGGGGAATGCTAATATACTTCCGCCTATTTTTTAGTGGGAGTATGTTAGCAACCTACACCAAAATTTTAGGACAAAAAAACCACTCATTTCTTTTAATTTGGTTAATTCGTACAAAGGATATTATAGTAATTTTATTTTATTTTAAAAAAAATTAAATATTTTCTCTCTCTTATTAACTTCATTCAATAAGTCGTTTCTTTTTTCTATTAATTAATTTTTATTTGTTCAAAGAGAGAGGGGAGAGACATCATGAGAGATGAGAGAGAAATTAGTTAAAGAAGAAATTTAATAGGAGAGAGATAAATAAGTTAGAGAAAGAATTTAATAGAAAAGATGAATGAGTTAAAGAAGGAATTTAATAGGAGAGAGGAATAACTTAGTAAAATAAATTAATAAGAGAAAGAAAATATTTAATTTTTATTTAAAATTAAATTAAATTACTATAATATCCTTTATACAAATTAACCAAATCAAAATAAATGAGTGGTATTTTTATCCTAAAATTTTAGTGTAGGTTACTAACATATTCTCACTAAAAAAATAAGTAAAAGTATATTAGCATTCCCCATATAAGTATATTAGCATTCCCCATATAAGTATATTAGAGAACCTCAACCATAAATAAAACTTCTGTTTTATATTATCATGAGTTTCTAAACACTTCCTTCTTTCCTGAAAACTTTATTCTTGTGATTATGTCTTAGACTTTCTTCCGTGAGAGAATACTTTGCTTTACTATTAGATATAGAGTATGCTCTGCACTTGCCATGAAAATGGAACCTGTGCATCAGAAATATATTTGATCAATGATCCTTTTGAACGGTCCTTATTATTATTAGCGTTAGAATTAAAATTCTTATTATTAATATAGCTATGATTAAGAGAGTAACAGGACCTGAGAAAGTACGCTAAGGGTGCGGAAAAGCTCGGTCGTGAAATCTTAATTATATTTATGTTCAATAATAAGGGTTTTATAATGATGTTGATAATATATAAGGCTCCCGTCCAATATGGTATCAGAGCCAAAACATTACTAGCAAAGTATTTCTCTCTTTTTGAAGGAGGTATAAGGTATAATTATATAGAAGAAAGTGAGTAAGGAAAGCTTTACACAACATGAGTGATTCCCAATTAGATAACCCACGACCTTCTATAACCCATTCTTCACAAATCAACCTTACAATCCCAAAATCTTGTAAACAAACCCTATCTGATAAACTTGAAAACTTGATTGAGTATTCTCGAGTTCCAGAAGATGCTCAGATCGAGAGTGCTTTACCACCACTCTTAAGCCCTTATAACGTCTTTAGACGCCATAAAAGTTCTTTTACCTGGAATGTTCGAAAGCTGGTTTCAACTCCTCGACCTGGAGTAAAAGAGTTCATCCAAACTACGAAGATGGACCAGTGTGCCCTGAAGGCAACCTCTGCAGAACAATACGTGGATTTAGAAATAAATCCATCCCTGATAAAGCTCTGGCAAAGAGAAGGATATGTTGCTCTTCACTTTGGAGCGGTAAGGTTAGTCTTAACCTTACATGGCAGAAAGGGTCTTCCAGTCACTGCAAGAGTCTCTCTTATAGACTCTACCTTTCATCACTACGAGCATGCCGTCATTGGATCTGTCCTGACAACATTAAATGCTGGAAGTGTTGTTCTAACAATATTTCCAAACTTTAATGTCCAATTAAAGGATCCAACTCTCCCAAAAAGATTCAAGGTGCAGGTCCAGATCGTTGGAGCACCACAGGAAGAAGCAGCGTTGGCTGCCACTCTACACCATCAATTGATTTTCAGAGTGCAAGATCATTGTTATGATCTTCCTACAGAAGCACAATTTAATGAAAATGCATTGATGGTCATTGCTAACTCGGAAGACCAAGTGCCAACCATTGTCCAAATTCCCAAGCAGATCTCGCGAGGAGATCTAGAGCTACTGATTCCACGAGAGTGGATCAGTAATTATGAAAGCTACAGGAATGGTTAGAATCCTGTAATCGCCACCGAATACTCCTACCAAAGATTAAAGGATGGCTCTGTTAAAACCATCTTCAAAAAGAAAGATCCCACTGAAGCTTCAACAAGTAATGCTGTTTTCAGCACTATGATGATCTCCCTTGGAGAAAGAGAAACAATTGTTCCCATCTATGCTTTCAGATCAGATGGAAGTTCCATTTATTCTGATAAGATAAATGGACATTTTATGTGGGACGTAGCACCAGAAATGTGCGATTCGGAATGTGATTGCTGGATGGACTGCTCAGATGATGAATCAGATTCAGATGACTCTGATTCTGATAAAAAAGATAGATGTAAACCTCCATCACAGCATCGAAAGCCTCCTCCCAGTAGACAACCATGGGTGGCTTTCAGAACGCCTCCAAGGTCTTTGCCAATCTATGATCAAGTTCTGGAAATTCTTAGGAAAGAAAAGAGAAAGTCGTCTCCTCCACCTCCTGAAGAACCATCACTAATCACTTGGCCTCCTCCAGAAAGGTGTAGTCCAAAAGAAAATCATTACATACAATCTCTCCTGTACAAAGAACGGAGTTCTGCATGATGGCTTCTCGAGAGGAATTTCCACCACTTGAAAGAAGAACCACTCCAACAACTAGGGCAGATGTCAAACCTTTTGTCACAAAGACAGAGGTCACTACTGATGGTAGAATGAAAGCTCTTTCTCAAGCAGAGGAAGTGCTAAACTGGCAGACAGAGAATGTTGTAGCCCAGAATACATGGATAAAATCAAAAAAAATGCATATATCCATGGACCAAGATATCAAGCTTCTGTCCACCAAGTTACAATCCTACCATCAAGAACTGAAGGAAAAAATTGAACAACTCGAAAGAGAAATTGCAGGAGTCAAGGGGATCCATAAATTGAGTATGGAAGTTCTCAACAAACAAAGAAGCCTGGACAAAGCTAAAGAACAATATGAAGAGCTTGTTAGGCTTGTTGAAGAAAAGAAACATTTGACTAGGATCATGATTTGGATATGTAGACATTTGAGCTTTTTGAGTAAACATTTGAAGATTTGGATATGTAGACCACATTTGAACTTGGTTTTGTGTCCATAATAATTTTGTTGTTGGATGTTTAAAATATGGACGATGAATAATGGCAATGGTAACCATCCTTTCTAAGTTCCACTGACTAGGATCATGATGTTGTTGAATCCTAGTTTTTTCAGCTTCAAGGTCTTCAATCCATTTTTGTATAGGCTCAAACCAGGACAGAAATTCCCCTAGTATTGAACCTTCATTTTCTGTGTTTTGCAGAAAATTAATCATTTCCTGAGTAGGAAAGATTAATGGATATTGATGGAGTAATGAGACACTCCATAAATACCACATGTCATCTTCAAGGAATGTTTTTCCCAATAAAATACCAAAGATATTCAGAAAGGGTGTGTCTGGATTAAACCAATTTGGTTTGGGCGAAATATGGTGTTTGTGGAGAGAGGCTGCCAGATAAGATAACATATGTTGTCTGGCAAAGTTTTGCAATGTTGCAGGGGAAATAGGGAAATCTGGTGTAATTTCTGGAGGAAACTGTTTTTTCCAGGGATTAGTTAGACTAGCATTATCACCATATACTTAATTTAGAGACTTCGGGAAAAAAAATATATGGAAACCTAAAATAGTTAAGAGTGTTTTACCTGATATTTGTAATCTTTGATTTATTAATATTAATTAAGGATTAAATTTAAAATATTAATGTAGACCTAATTAATCATTAAGAAAGGATTAATAATAATCTTTAGCTAATTATACTAATCCAATATTAGAATCTCAATCCTAGAACTACTCTATCCTTAATTGTCCAATTTAACACCGTATTAGACACCCAGAGTGGATCACCTAAGTAAATCAATTTAACACAAATTTCGGATCCTGAATTCATAATTGACGAGATAGAGAAGCAATGGAAAATTCAAAGCATGGGGTGAAAAGCAACAAAAGTCGTGGTTTAAACCGGTGACACATGCCTTTCAATAAATTTGATAGATGAAAATTAAACAACAAAATCATTAGTCAACAACTTATTCACTTGTTTTCTTGTAAAAATCGGTGACACATGCCTTTCAATTACCATAAATGAAGCCTGGTACAATTGCTAAAACATTTCACATGATCTTTACCAAGGTAACACAAAGAAAGTCAAAAACACTTATAGTGTGTTTGGATGAGGAATTTTACAAATTCAAGGAATTTTAAATTCTTGGTATTTGAATTACTTTGATTTCAATTTCTATCATTCTTAAAATATTTTGTTTGGATGAGTCAATTCAAATTTTTTAAATTTTAAATTGTTAGGTTGAATATGATAATTTTATTCCATCATAGTAAAATTGATTTTAAAAATATATTTATATGTTGAGATTTTTAAATTAAATTTTATAAAAATAAATATTAATCCATTTTTAATTAATTAATAATTTTAAAAATTAATATTAGATAATATTTAATAATTTTAAAAATTAATATAAGAATATTTAATAATTTTAAAAATATTTTTGAATATCTAATAATTAAAAGAATGAAGAGATAAGATAAAATATATAGGTGAAAGAAGAAAAACAAATATGAGGAATTTCAAATTCTCCTATTTTTGGGAGAATTTGAAATTCTACTATTTTAAGGAATTTCACAAATGCTTGGATTTCAAATTCTTTGTAAATTCCTCATCCAAACAACAAAGCATTTCACCTCAAAGAATTTGAAATTCTTCAAATAAATGAATTACCCCATATAAATTCCTCGTCCAAACACACCATTAGAAAATTCATACGCCCATGTACTCCAAATTATCGGCCATTTCATCTAGCTCCTTGCTAGGGCAATACTTTTTACATAGAGTTTTGAGATTGAACCAAAAGGATTGCCTAAAATAATATAGTTGGAGATCAACCAAAAAGAACCAAACTATGATTATTATTTTTTTATTCCGACATTCATTTTTGAACAAATAAATTATATTTATTTTATGATTAACAAACACCGAGAATGTATAATAGGTTAGGATGGAAAATTATAGCATTTTTATAGAATAAATTATTAGTGTAAATCTTTTTATATTATCAATTGATCAAACATAATCATTGATATGAATACATGATTTCCGAAATAATTAGCGTAAAACTCAATAAACTTGCATGACCATGAAAATTTATATTTAGTTCAATGACCGTCGTGCTCGTGGATACCCTATTTACTCACAAATTAACTTGCAATTTCAACTACGGAGTGAAACATATACCCCATGGCTGTGATATTGAGTTTAAAATCAATTTTTCATCAATTCATCTCTACATATGACAGTCTCAAAAAATATTAAAAGAATTTTCATACGAAGCATCTATAGTATAAACAATTAATTCTAATTGTACATCACAAGACTATCACTAAAATTATTGTGATGCCTACTGAATGTAATTTTCTTCATTTAGACTAGCGTATGCATAGCCTTTTTTTTTTTTTTTTTCAATGAACAAACTTGTTTCACGGAACCTTGGCCAATCTGACATTTTGAAAGATTCTTACTGGGTTTATTATGAATTGAATTCATCTCTTTGAAGAATATGAATTCAAAGAAGCTTGAATTTCTTCTAGTGTACGCCCCTTGGTTTCTGGTACTAGTTTTGCTACGAATAGCACAGTGAAGCCACATATGCTAGAGAACATGAAGAAAGTTCCTGGCCAAACACAACATAAAAATTATTCTTATTCCACATATAAAACATGGAGTCCTAACTTCTCTATTTTCTTAAAACTCTTTCACAACTATTTTTTTATTTTTATTTTTATCTTCCGGATCAAGATTAAATGCTAACATACCTGCTGAA